TCTCAAATTTTACAGTAAATCAATTCTCATTTTCAATCACACATTCTTCAATAAAATAATATTTTCCATCACATCAATAATTTTTTCTTCTTTTTCAACCACACATTTCCCATCATATCACTATTCAAAAATCAATTCTTTTCCAAAAAATCCCTACCAAACACACTCATATATATATATATATATATATATATTTGAATTGTGTATTGATGGAAAATGTGAGGTTAAAAAAAAGGTTTTAAATTTACATGTAATGTTATTTTATTTAAAAATGCATAATTGAATTGGGATCGAAACATTATTCAAGAATGTTTTTTTTTTTCAAAAACTAGGGATCAAACAAGACCTAAGGCCCTGTTTGAGCCAAATTATAATTATTATTGAGATCCACACAAAAGATAGAAAATTTAAATTTAAATATTGATGTGATGTATAACAATTATATTTTTTATTTTAATGAGATAATAATATAGATCAAACGGGAGTTAAATCTAATAGACTCCTCAAAGTAGTTGAGTTTTTGGACTATCGGCCCAAATTACTAAATGGTAGAATTGAAAACGTTTTTACCATGAATAAAATGGAAACAAATGATAATTATAAGCACTTTAACCCCTTAAAAAACATGCCATTTTTCAGTTTAAAAGTGTGTACTTAACAAATTCCCCTTAGAATAAAGCATTTATAAGTAACTGTTACACCGCCTCAGTCACCCTTTCACCTGCCTTCTATAAATACCCTCGCCGCTTTTAACACTTACTACGTTCAGCTTCTCTCTGTATCTCTCTCTCTTCTCCTCTTCGAAAGGCCAAAAAATGGATTTGGGAATGGTTACAAAGGATTCGAGCTGGTGGGTTTTCACTCTTCCGGCATTTCTTGGCTCTAAAAATCTTCTCGATGAATATGTACTTCTTGCAATAGCACTGGCTTCTGTATTTCTTGCTGTTCTTACATGGGCTTTCTCCCCTGGGGGCACAGCATGGAAAAATGGCAGAAATCGGCATGGAGCTGTTCAAATCCCTGGGCCGAGAGGTTTCCCAGTAGTCGGAAGCCTTTTTAATCTCAGCCGTGGTTTGGCCCACCGCTCTTTGGCAGCCTTGGCTGTAGCTTGTAAAGCTAAGCAGCTGATGGCGTTCAGCCTTGGCGGCACCCCGGTTGTGGTGGCTTCTGATCCTCTTATTGCTAAAGAGATTTTAACCTCACCTCACTTTGCTGATCGACCTATTAAACAGTCGGCTAAGAGCCTGATGTTTACCCGAGCCATTGGGTTTGCTCCTAACGGAACCTACTGGAGGCTCCTCCGTCGCATCGCCGCCTCCCACCTCTTCGCTCCCCGCCGCATTGCGGCCCATGAAACTGGACGTCAAATGGACTTAGCCACCATGTTGAGCAACATAGAATATGAACAGACACTCGACGGGAGAGTGTCTTTAAGGAAGCATTTACAAGCTGCAGCCTTAAATAACATTATGGGGAGCGTTTTCGGGAAACGTTACGACCCGACCGAGGATGGCGAGGAGCTTAAGGAACTAGAGGACATGATTAGAGAAGGGTTTGAGCTTTTAGGTGCTTTCAATTTTTCAGATTATTTGCCATGGATTTCGTATTTCTACGACCCGTTTAGGATCGTTTCACGATGTGAAGAACTCGTCCCACGGGTTCGTAAACTAGTGAAGGGAATCATCGAAGAGCACAAAGTGAAAAATCAAAGTGAAAATCTGTCTTATAATGATGATTTTGTCGATGTTTTGCTCAATTTGGAGGGTGAAGAGAAGCTCAATGAAGATGATATGATTGCTGTTTTGTGGGTACGTTCGTTTGTTTATGCATGTTGTACCAAACAAGTTTTACCTTTATATGCACGCACTTTAATGCATATGCTTATATTCACACAAGAATAGTAGAAGTTTTGAAATTATACCAAAATTTGCAGGAAATGATATTTAGAGGAACTGATACAACTGCCTTGTTAACTGAGTGGGTTATGGCGGAGCTGGTGTTGCACCCGGAGGTTCAGAGGAAGCTGCAGGATGAACTCGATGGTGCGGTTGGGGACCGGAACATTACAGATGCTGACACGGCGAAGCTTCCTTTCCTACAAGCAGTGATCAAGGAGACATTAAGGTTGCACCCGCCGGGACCGCTCCTATCATGGGCCCGTCTTTCCACGGCAGATGTCCATCTCAGCAATGGAATGGTGGTCCCGGCTAACACGACGGCGATGGTCAACATGTGGTCAATTACCCACGACTCCGAATTTTGGAAGGATCCATTGGAGTTTCGTCCTGAAAGGTTTGTCGCGTCCCAAGGTGGCACTGATTTAGACGTTAGAGGTGGCGATCTACGGTTGGCTCCTTTTGGGGCTGGCCGCAGGGTTTGCCCTGGCAAGAATTTGGGACTTGTTACGGTGGCTCTTTGGGTGGCGAAGCTGGTGCTCCACTTCAATTGGGCGGAGGACAAGGCTAATTTGGTTGATCTTAGTGAAGTTTTGAAGCTGTCTTGTGAAATGAAGTATCCACTATCTGCTGTTACCAAGTCAAGGAAGGTTCCATTTTAGTATGTTTTATTAATATTTAGGGGATAATAGGTACCTAGGTTCTAGTATTATTATATTTGATATTTCCTAAAATTGTTCGTGTTTTCCTATGTAAGAAAGGGTAGGAGACAACTGTTGCCTCCAAGTTTTGAACTCATTTTCCCCAGAGTCAGGCCATCCTTAGCTGATATTTGCAATTTATATTAATGGTTTCGTTTTTTGGTTAGCCCTTTGAAATGTCACATGATCTTCACCAGAATCAGAATGCGACTTTAAATCTTTGCAACGATCTATATGTTGTGAACTTAATGAAGTAAAACCTAGTTCATAAAATGAGAGACAATAGCCACTTGATTTTGTGATGTAGTTCGAAACTACAAGCCAAATAGTAATGAAGTGAAAACGGATTGCTCTTTAAGAAAATTCGTGCCTTTTTTTTGTTTTTCGAACAACCAGACCTACAAACGTTTGGGTAGGTTGGGTTACAAAGCAAAACAAATAAACATTAAAATTAAGGAATTATAGAACTTAAAATGCTGTTTTGATTAAGAAGACGACGTCAAACGTCCAAAATTCATCATATGTCACGGCGAAGCGATGAGTTCAATTTGAAATCGTTGTGAGCTTTTTGAAATGGGGTTAAGGGTCCAAAACGAACATCGTATGTAAAAGTAATGTCACTTTTTTTGAGCGTCAACAATTCAAGCGCTCTAAATATGCAATCTCCCGTTCCTCCACGTTAGCCTCATCATTTTGACTACTTTCCCAACTCGTGCGATTTGATTGGGAAAATATTGAAAAATAGATGCGGAATAATTTTTCGACATGGTCGTAAATTGTCAAGTAAAATGTAGCCATCATAAATTAGACATGCGAGAATCCAAAAAGTTCACACCTCATAGACCCTCAACCAATTACCTTGTCTGTAAGAAAGAGCCGTTAACAAATTTATTTATATATTTATTTTTGGTACTGTACCAAATCTTTCATAGGGAAAAGGATAATGCAAGAAAATTTCAATTTTTATTGTTTCAATATATAAATAGGTTGGAGCAATGAATTTGTAGATCTTATTAATATCTGTAGTGGCAGCTTTGACTGTAAATCAGGCATTACGTAACATCAAAGATTTGGTCAATTATTTCTAACTTAAAGCGCCATCGTAATATATATATAATGATTTGGTCAAAGTGTTCCTAAATTAGGTATTACTAAAATCATAGCACAGATTTGGTCAAATACTTCGGAAATCAAATCTCCTTTTGCTCTTCTAATTGTATCATTTTTATTTATTTTTAACAAACTACTAGAGATGGCAGCGCCCCCGCCACGCCTTGCCTTAGACGGGCGGAACAAATGTTCAAACTAACTACATCAATATCCGTTTCCTGCCTCCCTTTTCTTTCATTTTTTTTTCAAAAAATTTCAGTTAAAATATAAATTCAAAATTTTAAAATTTAAAGAAAATAATCCTCAAACAAACCATATCAATATCCAAAGTAAGCACTCGAAACAAACAATATCCAAAATTAAACATTTGTAATTAATTAATTTTTTTTATTCTTCACGAGGCGAATTCAGAGCGAGACCTTGAGACCTGAGACGAGGAGACTATCCCTGTCCCAGCAACCCGTCGGGATGGGGCGATGCGGGGCGGGCCATCACTACAAACGACTTTGATCGTAATTGAATAATAAATTGGGGTTTATTAGTTTGAGTTATAATTTTATTTTATGCACAAAATATTAAGGGAGAGAAAATGGGAGTGCACATACTTTGCTATATGAGTTTTGAATATTAATTTTTTAGAGTGGGTAGGAATTTTTTTTTGATTTATGTGTAAAATATTATATTGTGTAAATGTATGGTTGAAAATTTATGAGAATTAAAGAGTTTTGAAATAGCTGTCAGACAAGGGCGTTATCTTGTGGTGAATTAGAGAATCGGCTTTGATTAGACCACGTTTTTAAAAGTATAAACATGTACTTTTTGAATATTAAGTCTGTGTTTTCTACCATTATTTCAAAAAATTATTTGTTAAAGTAAGATTTCCCACCACACATTCATCCAATAAAATATTTTACACACAAATCAATAAAATTATTTTAAATTTCAACCACATATTCTCCAAAAAATACTCTTCATTACTCTATTTTTCCTCAAATAATGGAAGACAAACACATCCTGAGATAAATATCATGTCGTTTAAAAGATGATTTGCCTTTGAAAAAGTAGGTAGGTCCGTTACCGACACAACATAATTGCTCAGTGTCTCCATTGATTAAATCGATTGAATCTTTCATTAAATTGTCACAATTAGATTAATTTGTAAGCTTCTAAACGTGTTAAATTTTTAAATTAACCAATCGAGCATACAAAAGTTGAAACTTTTGACACTAATTGCAAACCCTTTTATTAAAGCATGCAAAGGTCACATAAGTACCTTTCTTTAATTTCTTTAAATCTTTAAATGATTTGTTCAAGCTTTACCGAATCCTATGTTCTCCATATCATGTTGTCTTCTTTAGTGTTTTTCAAAGACTGGTCACTCGAGATTAATTGACAATACAAACTTATTATGAGAACAAAGCGTGAATTTTTTATTAGTTGGTTCTTAACTCATAAATTATCGACTGAAATATAAGTTGCCTCACCACGCTTAATCACAGGGATGCTTAAACATCACACTCCATTAAAGTACTATGTTCGAGTCCCATTTTTTTTCATCAAAATGTATTCTTCAACATTGATTTGATCTCATTTTAATGATACATTTTTCAATAAATAATATTACACACAAACCTAAAAAAATTTCTTCTTTTTTAACCGTACATTCTCAATCATAACACCAAAAAGGGACTCAAACAAGTCCTATTATAACATTTATACCATCTATAATATATTAAATATCGCATGAAGTGAGAATCATTTTCTGAATGATTTTAGCCATACTACAATTTAATTATTTCAATAGTATCATAATTTTTCGTTTTTCAATATATATTTAATTGAATATTAATTATTAAACATGTACGGAAATAAATAATTGAATTGTATGAGAACAATCAAATTGATTCATAAACATTGAATTTAATTAATTTGAATAAATGAATTTAGAAAAAGAATAATGTATATACATTTAAAAAGGGAGTGTAAGTGAACCAACATGAAATTTAATTAATTTAAATAAATAGATGTAGAAAAATAATAATTTATATACATATAAATAAATGGAGTGTACATAAACCAACTTGTAATTTAATTAATTTGAATCAATGAAAATAGAAAAATAATAATTTATATACATTTAGACAAATAGAGTTATATCATAGATTAAATGAATAATATTGAAATTAAATTAGTGTACATGAACTTGAATAATTTCTCAACTCCTATAATAATTTAATAGCACCCAAATTATATGATTTTTAATAATTTACATACTCCTAGAATAATTTATGATAAAATGAATAATCTTGAAAATAAATACGTGTTCATGAACTTGAATAATTTATTTACTCCTAAAATAATTGAATAGCTCCCAAAACATGTGTACATGAACTTGATGACTTAATGTCA